TCTGACTTTTGGTTGTCTTAATGAATAATCTAAGTTTAAAAGGATGCTTAGTCAATCTATACATTCAGGACATTCTTCTGATAAAAACAGTTAACGGTACATTAAAATCGAAGCAAGCATAAGCATCATTAAACGCATTAGCCACGGCGCGGATAGGCTCATTCATCCCATACTGTCGGTTACGAGTCGCAAGATGAACGAAGTTACGTTGTCTCATTACTCTCTCAGGTGGGTAGAAGTAGAGCTGCCGAAGTAGTTGTGGGGAGTCAATTTCACCGATAATAATCTTAGCGGCAAAGACAGCTTGAGCATTACGTCGTCTTGTTTCCAGGGTATCAATCCCAAGCAGGCGGCAGCGGTCCCCGTATGAAGGCAAGTTAGATGCATCACGCCAGGGTAGATGACGTAGCGCGTAACGAACAAACTTCCTTTGTACACTCTCAAACCTTGCAATCCAGCAGGCCTGATAAGGGCACCAAACGACAGCACTGAACTCCAAAATAGAGCGGACCAATGAACAATACAATGCCCGCAGGCACAGCGGGTCACGAAAGTCTTCGGAGATTTTGAATATAAAACCAAGCTGTCTGTTGGCTTTGTTCAGGACGTCATTGTAATGGGGCTTGAACGTCAATGCACAGTCAAGAGTAACTCCTAAGTCTCTGACTTGACTAACTCTCTCCAAAATCTGGCCGGAGATGGAATAATCAAATCTGATCGGTTTCTTCTTACGGTAGAAGGATATCACATTGCACTTATTGATGCTAAGCGTCAAGTAGTTACGGGAGCACCAGCTTTGCATATGATCCACAATCTGTTGCAAATCCTCACAATCAGCGATGCTATTGATGATCATGTACATTTTAACGTCGTCGGCGTAGAATAGTCGGCATCCAGGTGGCAGTAGACGAGAAAGCTCATTGATAAACAACGAAAACAAAAGCGGTCCCAGATTACTTCCTTGTGGAACACCGGAGATGTTCGTGAATACTTCAGATTGCGAGGCGCCAATCTTAACGCAGAGCGAGCGGTCTGTGAGATAAGACGTGAACCATGAAATCATGGAGTCAGAAACGCCAAGTTTTTCAAGTTTGCCCAGTAATATGCAGTGGTCAACTCGATCAAATGCAGCCTTCAGATCAGTGTCGACTTGTCCACCAGAATCCATGGTCCGAACGCAAAGTGACACGAATTCAGTCAAGTTTGTCGTAACTGACCGCTTTGGATAGAATCCATGCTGAGCCGTGGAAATGTAGTTTTTGCAGGAACTGAAAAGTGCCTCGTTGATGATAATCTCGAACACTTTGGAACAGCAGCATAACGATGTGATCCCTCTGTAGTTCTGGACATTCCTTTTGTCACCTTTTTTGTGCACTGGGAACATGTACGAAAATTTCCATGCCTCAGGAAATTTGCACTCCTGCAAAGACAAGTTGAACAACTTTGCCAAGGGAGTGAGTAGCGATTCAGAGCACAGCTTTAGGACGGACGAGGGAATCCCATCCGGACCAACAGCATACGAGAGTTTCAACCTTTGAATAGCCAATTCAACAGTATGCTCATCGATTTGGAATGAACGAAAATCAAACGCATCTCTTGGAGTATCGCGGGTTGCTATTCCAACTTGGTTAGGTGATGCCGACATATCATTAAAAGAACTCATGAAATGTTGAGCGAAGAGACGACACTTTTCTGTTTCAGAGCTGGCGGATTGTTCACCGAGATGAACTGATAAAGGCAAACCGACTTCGTTCTTTTTTGAGTTAACAAACGACCAGAAACGCTTTGGGTTCCTGCGAAGGGATGCCTGTGTACGGAGCACATATCGGCGGTACAAGTATCGGTTGTATTTCCTATAATTATTACTGCTACGGTTGAACTCTTGCTTCGTGATGTATGAACGATTTCGGCAGTATCTTCGTAACGCTTTGGCCCTGTACCGTTTCAATCGACGCAGGTGACCATTAGACCATGCGGGCTTCGGCGCAGGTCGTGAAAGAGGAACAAATTCAGCCATGATATCGCAAATAGTTTGCCTGAAGTAATTGACGGCATCGTCAACACAGTCAGCTAATTCTATTGGTCGCCAGTCGACCCTGGAGATAGCAGCGCTAAGTTCAGCATAATCAGCTCGTCTAAAATCGAAGGTACGAGAATCGTCGGTGCGCGCCTCAAAAACGACCTGCGGCGGAAGTTGCATCATTACATCCAGAGCAGGGTGGTCAGGATCTAGTGTGGTCAGAGGTTCAACAGCCTCCGAAACAACACATGCTGGAGTTGCAGCTTCGTTCGACAGAACAAGGTCTAGGAAGCGAGCATTTCTGTTCGATATACCATTGAGCTGCGTGAGGCTATGCAGAGAGAAGCCATCGATAAGCGCCGAGCTTGCAGACATCAAAGCAGTTTGAGGCTCAACTTGCATAGACCCATCGTCTGAGTTCCTCCATTGGAGAGCAGGCTGGTTGTAATTTCCAAGCAGTAGAGCAAAATCATTGAATCCCAAGTTAGCAACAATGGCACCGATGGAATCCACGTGGTCTTGTATGCTGCTGCTATCGTTACGACGATCCGGTGGTAGGTATATTACGCCCACGCTGACAACTCGGCTCGGCATAGTCACTCTAACCCACAGTTGCTCCAAACCATCGCTGACGGGTGAAGGGTCGATATAGCTGTTCCAACGGGTAGAAACCGCAATCAAAACACCACCTCCGCGGGTCTTCGCACTATTAGAGCCATTTCTATCAGTGCGATATACAGCAAAGGTGTCCCCGAATAGTTGCGCACTGTATATACGGTCGTCGAGCCAGGTCTCGGTCAGCACTATGACGTCATAATCGCACTCGCTTGCGACAAGAAAGAAAGAATCCACCTTGGTTCGTAGTCCTCGCACGTTTTGGTAGTAGAACCGCATACCATTAACTGCTTCTTCATTGCCAACTAGAGCAGACTCGATGACAGGAGAGAGTGCCAAGGTGGGAGATGGAACGTTGCAACTAGGGCCGCTGGAATTGGAAGACACTTCAGGAAGAGGAAATTCCACATTCGCATGGTACTTGCCTGAAGAAGCAGGCTGGAAGACCCTCTCTCTACATCCAACCACGGGTCCGGGACGACTATGATGAGCGCTGGCAGCGATAGGCAGGACCGGGCTGGAGAGATCGAGGGCTTCCACAGTGCTTTCCATGATGCGTCCCGGTTCGGTGTTTGTTGAGTCAGCAGCTTCGGTGTCTGGAGTCAGTGGGAGACTGGAGTCACGAGAGGTGGGGAAACGCTGCAACGCAAAACGATTGAGTGCTGGTATACGAGAAGCAGAATGACAATACTCGCCTGTGATGGGAACCCGAGGGTTCCCACCGTCCACGGAAAAACGTTCGAATTCTATACCGTTGGTGACTGGGGATCTGCGTCTAAATCGGTTTCCTCGTCCGCATTCGACTTCTTCCGGTTTTTTGGCTCGTCGATGAACTCCCTGAACAGCAAACCAGATGGCCAAGTCGTGGCAAGCAGAGATTGCTGCTTTAAGGAAGGATCTAGTCCAATCTTGAAGAATATGAACGACATATTTTTGATATCCATTCCTCTCGGCACTAGACGAACAACATCGCAAGAGTTAGTCACATTCAGGCATCGCGCGACGATTTTTCGAACGTCGTCCGTTGTGACTAACGGCTGAAAGCCAGACAAATAGAGCCAAAACTTTGGGGGAGCTGGAGTGGGTGTAAGTGATGCAACCGAAAGCCCACTGAGGTCGATCGCATTCGTTCCACGATCAGTTTTAGCAGTGATAACTTGTTTCTGACCGCGATTGGCACCCAACCTAGGCCAGGAAGATGGGTTACGGACAGACAGCGGACGGGTCGACTGGTTCTGAGCCGCTGCAATACTATCCACTTTTTGACTCAGGCTTTCTACCAACGTTGATAACTGCTGAACCTGGTCTGGCAGACTGTGCGACGACGGCTCGTGCGATTTCAATTTGTCGTCTATGTAGGACCGCACGCTTTTACCATTCAGCTCATCTCGGCAGACGGGGCAAACAAACATCGCCTTTCCCTGTGCGAACAGATCTTTGTTGGCTCTGCCGCTGAAGCCACAACATTGCTGGCTAATGTGGTAGAACGTTTCACAGAAGCCACACTGCACTGGCTCGAGATCGTTGATGTCCGATTTGCATTGTCCACATTGTTTGCGCTCCATCTCTTTACAAATCTGCCGGTTGCTGGTGGAGGAGGAAACTTCTGTTCGGGCTGCAACTCTGCCGGGGACACCTCGCTAATTAATTATCCTTTCCCGCTTTCGCTACAACACCTGGCACAAACTGCGCGAAATGCAAATCACACCACAACCCAAGCAGGTTGCAACGGGCTTTATTTTATTTTTTTTTTCTTTTCTATAGAATTTTTCACTCTTTTCTCCAAAACAAAACCTCACACTATGATGCACAGCTTCCGATAATCGGATAATCAATTGTCAGTTGTGTATGGAGCCTCCATATACGACTATAGAAACCTTACGCTTCTAACGTACCGCAACTATAGGAGCATTTACCCTAGTACTTTTCTTCCTCTCGCACCTTCGCAAAACCTCGCCCCTAGCATGAAATATCGCTCAGAACGGAATCAACCTTAAATCTCCATATAGACAAAGACACCTCCGGAAGGAGGTCGAGTTTAGAATCGTTGCTGACATTGTTCCGCTAGCAAGCAATCCAATTTCCGTGCACTACTGATTGAAATACAATAATATTCGTTTTCAATAGCAACTAGAACTCGCTGTGCTGTAGATGAAAGGAGATCGAGTGGATTTCACAGCCTTTCGTAGCTTGGGTTGAGTTAATCCATTTTAAATGTCACATCTATCAAAGTTATTCCATCGAATCGGTTCTGAAAATAATTGGATTATTGAGGATTGTTTCGATAATTAAAATAAAAATACTCAAGGCATTAAACCATAATCCCCGTTCCCTGAAAAGGATGTCAAATTTGAATCCCAATTAATTAAAGCACCCAACGCCAACGGCGATGGCGGACAATGCCACCAAATAAGCTCGAATGAACCATGACGGAGAAAATCCAAAGACAATGTTCTCCCCCGAAATCGCGATTAGTTTATTTATCCGGTATTTTCCTTTCGCACAGCCTCCAATCAATCAGCATGTTCGTGCCACTCCGCTCGAAGTCCACCACGTGCCGTTTGACGTACTGCTCCACGTTGATACAATCCAGCTTTTCGCGAATCCGTGCCTTCAGGGGACCCTCGATGGCACCCACCAGTAGGTAGCGCAGCAAATTAGGCAGAATATTAACCCCGGCTTCCACCAGGTAATCCAACGAGCCGGCCCCGGAGCTGGAAATCTAGCGAGAAATTGATTAATTGATTGCAATATTAAAACGAAAAACAAATGTCTACTTGAATGTTTCCCAGCTCCAGTTGCAAGTTCAACAAAGTAGGCTTCTGGCGAAGATCCAGCGGTTGAGCTACTTTGATAGATACCCCCACGGATTCGATAGCAAAGTAAACTGATCCTGATTGCGTTACTAAGCCTCGCAGCACCGACAGCTGCCACCGTGTGGACCCCTCGATCCTTCCCGTGCCTACTTGGACCACGCAGTCCATGGTATTGTTTTTCACGGAAATCTCCAGCTCTCCACTGCGGTAAAAACTGGATAACCCACGCAACCTGGTGCCGGTCAATTGCAGACCGAAAATGCTCAACGAATTCCCGTAGTCCGGTACCAGGTAAGGATCAAATCCCTTCCTTCTCATAAGGAACCTCGCCTCCGCTATCGCCAAATCCAGTGGAGACACTGAATTTGCCAGCACTATGCCACGCTCCTGAACCTGCAGCTCAATGTGAGAATCGATTTCGTCTTGAAGCTTTGTGTAGACTTCCTTCAGCATGTATGGTTTCACCATATCGAACACCATGTTCGGAGCGGAGTTGACCAAGCCCTGAAACACCCGGCCGAACCAACCCAGGTTCTGGAAATCCATCGCCATACCTTCGAATCCAAAGTCCAGCTCTATGTCCCTCGTCCGGAGCGTTCCCTCGCGATCCACCCCAAGCGACACATTCCCTTCCGTACGTACATTCCTCATCACCATACTAAATGGTCCACTGGATCCCATACTGACCGCATAGCTGCCGTTGACCAGCAACTCGTCCATGGTCACTTCCAGCCGCAGTGTCATGGAACTGAGCTCGGCTTGGAAGAGACGCACCCTCAAGCGAGACAGACCGTACGTCATCAGATTGCGCATTTCCATAGAGGTGAATGCGATCGACTGCCGGAAGGCGGGAATCGGCAGTGGATCTGGAATCGATCCCACCGGAAGGCCCACCGGATCCGGCTGCTTGTAGAAGTCGATCATCTGGAACAGTTGAGTGGAGAAGCGCCGATTGTCGCCGCCGGGTGGTACCGGGAATCGGCTGAACGATCCCTGTGATACGTGGAAGGCGATTACGTGCAGCAGCAACAGCAAGACTTGCGACGATTGCATGTTGCTTGGAGGAACTCTCGGTTGGCACTGCAGAAAGTTCAATCGATGATCGCAGCGATAAGCGAGCGTTATCGCTAGATTGGTGATTGGTACGCATAGGTTGGTAGTAGGTAGATTAGTTGAGTTGTATCATCATGTTCAGTAATGATTCGGTCGAGCTTGATGAAAAGTTTAACTGTGTGTGGGGAAGTTGTACGACCAAATTAAAGCTTGGTCCGGTGGAAATCAAAATTCTAGATAGAGCTGGGCCTAACAGCTTTTGTAAACAATGATTTCTCTTGATGATTTCTAGAAATTTTAGGCTCGCCCATGCAAACCAACATCCTCAACAGGTAGGGAAAGACTTTGCCTATCCGATGGTTAGCTTGGTCTACGTGGACGTGCCTTGAATTCCTAGAAATTCCATATTAAATATTAATTAATTCTATATTAATTATATATTATATATTATATATTATTATATTATATTATTATTATATATTAATTATATTAATTCTATATTAAAGAGGGGAGATGTTGGGACCCATGGACATTCCTAGTACACGAAACAGAATCCATCGACCAGTTGAGCTCACTGTTGGCAGACCACCCTGTCTCCAGTCGATGCTACCGAACAGCGAGAAACGTCATCGGCAGTTTATAGAAGAGAAGTGAAACAGCGTGTTTTACACACGAATCATAATTTCAGTGCCAACATTTCAAAGGGGCGTAATTGCTTTTGTAAACAATGACTTTAGCCATCAATTTCTCGCGAATGAAATCTTACCTCTTCAAAATAACAATACTAGCTGGTACAGGAAACATTCCTCTACCTAATGGTGTCATTATTTTTCATGAGTGAGCTTTTATTCGCGAGAAATCGATGGCTAAAGCCATTGTTTACAAATGCAATTACGCCCCTTTGAAATGTTGGCACTGATTTGTATTTTACAAAATAAAGTTTATTTTAATTGTATTTATCTCTCGCGTATTACATACATCCAATGTCACGGTCACCTAAGTCACGCGAGTCGTAAAACAGTGGATAATGGAAACCACGTAGAAGCTCTCTATACAGTCTTTAGCAAGGCATTTGACCGCATAGACATACCAATGCTACTTTTTAAATTACAAAAAACTGGAATTGATACAGGGTTACTAAAATGGCTTGAATCATATTTAACTAATTAAATTCAACGGAAAGAAATCGAATTCAATTCAAGTCACTTCAGGCGTCCCCCAAGGCTCTCATTTGGGACCTCTTCTTTTTATTCTATCCGTAAACGACATTTCTTTCATTCTCAAAAACTTAAATTGCTTATTTATGCCGACGACATGAAGCTCATTTTAGAAATAAGAAATGAAGAAGACATCAATATATTCCGGAATGAAATACACATATTCTACATATGGTGCAAAAAAAGTCTACTAGAATTGAATGTAAAAAAATGTGATTTAATATCATTTAGCAGGAAAAGAACAACTTCAAATATTTCAATTGCACTAGAAAATCAAAATGTAGAAAAATGTGAAAGAGTTAGGGATTTAGGAATTATCTTAGACTCTAAACTAACTTTCATAGACCATCACAACACAAATATTCACAGGGTAAATAACATGCTAGGCTTTATCAAGCGCTTTTGCTATAACTTTCAGGACCCATACACAATTAAAACACTATATATTACCTATGTGAGGTCAACACTGGAATATTACAACATTGTATGGTCTCCTTTTTCAATCACGCACGAAGAAAGATTAGAATCCGTACAAAAACAATTTCTATAATACGCTCTAAGTAAATTAGGCTGTGTGGAAGATATAGTTGGTAAGAATGATAATGATTAAAACATATAAGTTGAGTGTAACGAAACGCTTAAATTGAGGAAAACCAATTTATCGTTCATGTGAACAAAATCTAACTATCGTTGCTTTGTGAGGAGAAATCCCAAAACAGCTAGCAGCACTGTGTAAAAGACGAGGTAAAATATGGGATATTCCTTCGGTATGAATATGGGCTACCTAAGCTTGCATAAGGTCAACAATCGACATTCGCTGCCAGACTGTTGAGCAGTTCAGTCGATTTTTATTCTCTCTCGTTTCGTTCGTTCGTTCGTTCGCAAATCGAATTAGCTCCGCGTTGAGTAGTGACGCTCTCGCTGACCTAGCCATGGGTAAGAAATCGCGCGATAACGCGAGTGCCGGTTTACCGGGAAAACAGCCTCTCCCAGGAGACGGCACGACCACCGAGCCTGCCCAGAAGAAGCAGAAGAAAACCCCATTGCCCGTCCCGACGGGCGTTGCGGACCCGCAGCCGGGGCCTCCCGGAACTAAACGACCCAGAACTGAAGACAGCAGTGCCACCGCATCGGTATCAAAAAAGCTGCTGAGCAACAATCCGTTCTCCGCCCTGCAGAACGGAGCCCAGCCGCAGTCGGACCTGAGACGGTGCCGAAAAAAGTTAAGTTGCCACCCTTCTATGTGAAGGGCTTCCCTCCCGGGCTATGGGAAAAGCTGGATTACTACATTAAGGAGGCCTTCGTTGCACCATTCAACGGTGCACGGAAGGCTACAAACTGATGGTCTCGCCCGGAAATCACTACAACGCAGTCCAGGCCCTCTTGGACAGGATGAAGCTGGAGTACTTCTCCCACGACGTCGAGGCCACCAAGCCGCTGAAAGTGGTGCTGCGCGGGCTCCACGATATGGACACCACCACCTTAATGGACGAGATTAAGGCGAACGGCCTCAAGCCGGTCGAAATCCACAAGATGACCCGCAGCAAGGCCTTCAAGTATCGTGACCAGCTCTACCTGGTCCATCTGCAGAAGAACTCGACAACCGTGAAGGATCTCCAGACGACACGCACACTGTTCCACATCGTAGTGAAGTGGGAGCAGTATAAGCCGACCCACCGTGGCGTCACTCAGTGCTCGAACTGCCTATTGTTCGGGCACGGCACCAGGAACTGCCGCATGGCCAGCCGCTGCATCAAATGCGGCAAAAACCACAAGATCGACGACTGCGACAGCACCGAGGAAGCCGCTCCCACATGCGCCAACTGCGGTGCCGCCCACGAGGCCACGAGTAAGGCCTGTCCGAAGCGGGCCGAATACGCCGAGATCCGGAAGAAGGCCTCGTCCAACAACCAGCCCGGTCGCAAGAAGGTTCCGGAAAACTACGCGCAGAACTTTCCTCCGTTATCACCGGTCCAACCACGGCCAATTCCAGTGTTGGCGCCGCTCCCGCTCAACCAACAGTTGGCTGCTGCCCAGTCGGCTGCCGCTGCAGTACCCGGTCAAGCCTTCGGCCCATCGACGGATCCCCCTGCTCCGGGATTGGCCGGTACAACCGGCGAAGCATCCGACGATTCTCCGCTGTCAACGGATGAGATCGTCACACTGCTGGCCCAGGCCATCATCATCAAACGCACCTGCGCTACAAGAACACAACAGCTCCAAGCAATCATCTCCTTCGTCGCTAATTATGGACCGTGAAGCCATAAAGATCGCCAACTGGAACGCTCGCTCCGTAGGGGCGAAAAACATTGAGCTTGCAGGCTTCCTCCACAAGCACGACATCGACGTGGGCCTTCTCACCGAGACCCACCTCAAGACCGGTGACAGCCTCTGGCTGCCCGACCACAGCATTGTCCGGCTTGATCGCACCAGCTCCAGTGGGGCGGTGTCGCGGTCATCATCAAGAAAGGCATCAAGTACTGCACCCTACCCCACTACCGCACTTCCATCATCGAGGCCGTCGGCGTAGAGGTGGAAACATCGACCGGAAACGTCCGGTTCATCGCCGCCCAGGCATGGAAAATCATTTGCATTCATTTACATTTATTTGCCTCTAACTTTTTTCTTCAACAGCATTCCGCAAAATGATGTAAATAGCTTTTTTAGGTGTTGTTATAAGCTACAACTTTTGTTTACAAGTCAAATCCGTATCTCAGATGCATGACGAACCAGAGCGAACAGAAGCCACTAGTGTTTTTCAGTGAATGTATTTTACATTCACTGAAAAACAGTAACAAGTTCTGCCCGCTCTAGTTCGTGATGCATCAGAGATACAGATTTGAGTTATGAGCAAAAATTGTAGCTAAAAACAAAACCTACAAAAGCTTATGCATTATTTTGCGGAATGCTGTTGATGAAAAAAGTTAGAGGCAAATGAATGTAAATGAATGTATGAAATGAATGTAAATGATTGTCCATGCCTGTCGCCGCCTACTGCCCCCGGCAATGTACCGTTAGCAATGGTAAAGCACATCAGTTCAAGAACAACCTTGCCATCATAACCCGCACCAATTCCCGCTTCGTAATCGGAGGGGACCTGAACGCCCGGCACGAGGCCTGGCGAAACTACCAGCAGAACCAGAACGGCCGCCTATTATTCGACCATTCCCAGCATGGTCTCTATTCCGTCTGGTTTCCGGACGAACCAACCTTCACATCACCGGCGGGCAACCCATCGACGCCGGACCTGTTCTTGGCAAACACTGGATTAGCCAAGCCGGTTGCCGTCAACGACCTGAGTTCGGACCACCAACCGGTGCTGACCGAGCTGGGCTGCAACGTGACCCCTGCACCGTGCCTGCGCAAGGACTACCATCGAGTCAACTGGGTCCAGTTTCGGCGCGTGGTCGACCGCCACATCGTCGACAACCCACCGCTCGACACAGTGGAGGACATCGACCGGGCCCTGGAGGGTCTCCATCAAGCCATATCCGTGGCTGACGAAGAGTGCGTTCGACGAGTTCCTGTGAGGGGTAAGTTTCAAGCAATTGATTCCCACACCAAACTCTTGATTCGGCTCAGAAATGTTCGTAGACGACAGTTCCAGCGGACTGGGAATCTGCAGCGTAAATACGAAATGGTCGATCTGAATCGGCAGATCGCTTCCAGAATAGTCTCAATCCGGAACGAGAGTTTCGGGCGGCTCGTTCAGAACCTGGATGACCGTTCCAGACCATTCTGGAAGGTTGCCAAGGTGCTGAAGTCTCACCCCAAGCCCATTCCACCACTTAGA